CAGTTCCTGCTGAGAAACACACAAGTTTCAGGCAAGAATTTAAAACTCTTCTTCAAAACAAACATTACAGCCTTGCCTTTCCCACCCCTTCTGCTGTTTTCTGCAGTAGGAGAGATGTACGTATTAAGACTGCATTAGTGAAGATTACACTGAAACCTACAGGGTGGTTTAGATGCTGTATGGTTTCAAGAAATTCAGAACTATCCTGTGCAACTACTGGCAGTGTTTTGTTTTAAAACCAGCTGTTCATATTGTGACACTGTCCACATTAAAATATGCCTTTGGCCTGGAAAATTACATGCTTATGCACAGCTTCTTTACAGATAAAATGCTACAAATATACTACGTGTAAGATACAGGTCACTGTATACTTTTCACAGAAGCATATGGTCACTTAAATACAAGCAACTGGTAATTCATTAATGGATATTGATGATACATTCCTAGTATTTTGACTCATGTAGAGTCAGGTGGTCTATACCTTCAAGGTATATACAGCTGATTGTAGTAACATTAACATCTGCCTCACTTCTTACGAGGCAAAAAGCACATGAATGCTTCCATCTTCAACTAGGCACCACACAAGACCAAAAAATAGGTGTAAACTAAGTGTTTTAAGTTAGCCATTTCTTGGCTTTATTCTGTGTTGGTAGCACAATATTAAAGGCAGTGGCAGAACTGTAATAGTGTGGGATTTCTAAGCATAAAGCACACATGCTTATCACTTTAAGCTAAAAAATAGTATTGGTTACTGTACAAGTAACAGTTTTTGCAGTCATAGGAAGCTTTGTTTACTGTTTGTAATGTGGTGTTTATCTTTGGCCATGTTCTGCTGATACCTGTTGACTGTTTTAGTGTGATAGAAATTAAAGGATTTGACAAGTTGTTTTCCTTGTCTGGTTCCAAAATACCACCTCGAGTACTGCAGAGGCATGGCTGCACACTGTGGTCTGGTCCAGTCCGTGCAGGCAGAGCTTGTGCAGTCCTGTGCTTGATAGGGTGAGCACATGAGAGGATTCTGAGGAGTGCCCCTTCTCCTGTCTGTCTTCAGGAGTGATGAGAGCGAAGGGGCTGCAGCCCTTGTGTCCCACCAGATCTCTCCTGCTTGTACAGCTCTGCAGCAGCTTCACGTGCATCCACTGCAATCTAAATTAGAAAGGAATAAGGTAGAAACAAAGAACAGTTGGCATCTTCATGCATGTGACTTCCCTTGAATTTTCTAAGAATGTTGTTTTATCCTCCTTTTCCAGAAGTAGGATGGGCTCAGATGGTATATGTACGTACAGCAACTGAGTCTTATGCTTGGTGGACTAGCATCTCTCACTTTGAAACACCAAATCCAGGAAGACAGCTAAATCCTGTGGTTTTACATACATCCTGATTTTTAAAATCTAGGTAAGGTCACTGAAGCAGAGACAATACACTACACACTAAGGCCATGTTAATAACCTCTTTAAAAGGAAAGGGCTTAGTTGTTTTTTTTTTTCTTTTTTTTTTTTAAAAAAAAAAGCATTGATGTGAACTGTGAACCTTAAAGACTTTAAGGAAGAAAGATTCCCTGCCCTCTAGTGTTAGTGTTCGTGGTGTTATTTTAGTGCTGACGTGAGACAATATTGCATACACTAATTTCCCTCCCCAGCCCGTATGTTTCAGGAGCTAAGTCTTGAGCTCTTGAATACTGGATTTACAATTGGTAACTGGCAAGTTATTTCAGTTGCATTAGCAGCTTTTGAACTTTACAAAAATGCTGCTTTGGAATTCACCCCATTCAGGGAGAGCAGGCTAACCCACCGGCCCTCACCCATGTGCTCATAACCCCTGCTGCCTTTTTCTGCCTTGCCCAGCACTCTTACTTCTGGCAACTGGTCTCTGACATTGTCGTAAGAAGTTGCGATGCTCCTTTTCTGTTCAGGGTGTGAGGAGGTCCATCCCGTGGCTTGTCCATCTGTTACACACAGCTCTAGCTGCCGAATTGGGTTACTTTGGGGATTACAGGCTCCCAGGGTTTCCGGGTGGTTGATGTGCATATGCTTGAACTTTTTGCTTTCAGATCAGTTTTGCTGGGACTGAGAAGTCATCCCAGACTTTCTGGGTGTACATTTTTGTGCAGGCCATTTGGGGGGGAAATGTGAGGGGGCAAATGAGATGGAGCTCCCCTGTGCAGCCAGTCTTTTTTCCATTCCGTTTCTAGTCAAGCTTTACAATTCCATTATTACTAAAAATACATCTAAAATCCTTAAGTTCATGAAATTCAGGAGCTGATGAAACTTTTTCTCATCCTGGCCTTAATTCTTGAAGACACCTGACATCTTGGCTTGCTTTCCTCTTTTATGTGTTCAAGTCATTCAGTGTGTTATTTGGTGGCTTTGATGTTAAGAACAGGTCTTGATGTAGGCAAAATGTGAAATACCAGAACAAGAAGAATTTACATAGATCTGATGTATCATCTGTAAGACCACCACTTCAACTGGGAAGCTTTTTTGAAATGTTTCACAATTGAAGCACCCAAAACTTCTTTCCAAGAGAAAGAAGACATGTATCATTAAGATAGGAAAATTAATTGTATGTTCTCTAAAGAACTTCATAAATTCTCAAAATCCGTTTTATGATTCAGAGTGCAGCAGAATCCTTGAGTTTAGAAGCCTGTGAACTTTTGAGGATAGCTCTGTCTTGGCAACAGAGAACCTGAGGGTGCTTGATAGTTCTGTGTTAATTACCACATTTTTCTAAGTAACTTTTTCAGTTGCATTTATTGCTGTTTGTTTAAATATACATAACATTAAATGTTCTAACAAATATAGGAGGTGACTTCAAACAGTCAAAGGGATACCGTCAGAAATGTCCTGTAAATGTTGACAATCCTGACCTGCCTAATTCCAAGCTATTTAAAAGATGTGTCTTATATGAAGGTCTCACATCAGCATAGAAATTAGGAAATCCCCGTTCTTTAAGGTTTGACGAGGTACTGGTGAGATACC